GGGGGGGGGGGGGAGGATACGTTATCTGGTCGTCGTGCATTTAAGGGGGTATAATGTAACTTTGTAGCCACACAAGATTCTTACACGGTCATTATACAGTTTGCCGAAGAAACTGTCACCGTGTTCAATCGAGCGGTCTCGATGTTAAAGAAAGAAGGAGTATACGTTTGAAAATTTATCACTCTTCTACCATAAAAAATTCCATCTGTGAGAATAGCACTTTGCGCGGAGAATGTTCTCGCGACGCTTAATCTGTTTCAGTTATCGTGAAGACAAGAGCTTTTACATTTCCAAGCAAACGGTTCCTCTCCGTTTCGAGAATCCACTTTCACGGATTTACGTCCCTTTAACACCGAGAACGCTCGGTTTACACGCGCCTAAAGGAGGCGATCTCTTCGCCCTCACTCCGGACGAATCTCGCGAGGCGGTTCGTCGCCGAAACGTCTCTGGCCCGCGCCTATCTATGTATCCCGCCCCACCTTTCTTCGTTAGCACTGTCGACGACAGACAAACAGACAAGTAGACAGACGGCTCGAACTCGCAGCCTTACCAGTTTGTAGCGAAAATAAAAAAGATAATGCGCCAAGTCGCACGTTCGATAACAATAAGCAACAGACGCGTCGCTGCGAATGCGAACATGGAGGTCATATCTGCATATCCATGGAATATCGTGTCTCAATAGAGAATTAATAGTCTCTGCTACAATTACACATCAATTTCGCCATTAGCACACATTGCTTGCCCGATTAGCTCGTTGATTGCGAAGACCATCGTACTTCGCGAAATATTTTAGAAGAACCGTGCACATCTGGCTAAAGATACATACTCTCGATTTAAAGCATTACTCGTTACAAGATTATACCACGTGTTTTCGTACGCTGCGCTCCCAGAATTGATCCGGTTCTTCGGCAAAGAGAGGAAGAGTACGAGAAAAAAGAAAGAGAAGTCGCGTAAACGAACAATGGAAGTTTCCTCTTGCAAATTCCCATTTTATCGAAAGTCTACATGCCGCGTGTAACTTGTGACTTTCGAATACAGAAGTGCTCTTATCTAACCTTCTGGCCTCTGCATTTAAGTAAAGATAACTTGAGCAGCATCAAGTGACCAGCGATCAAAGTTTCAACGGAAATTAGGTCAGGGCTGTCTTAGACGAGACGATAGTATTATCACAACATTGTTGTAGCATTATCTAAGGATATACTTCCGATCGTTATTCGGTTGTCTTTCTGAGAAGACAACATTTCATAGTCTGGGGAAATCGGCAGCGCCCGACGTACTCGACTGCTAAGCTGTACAAGGGTACGGACGGCCATTAGCGATGAAAAAAGGAAAATATTTTTTCAAAAGCGATCGCACACCTCGGATATGAACACACGTGTGCGTGCGCACTCGCAGCATTTGGAATACACACAGCAGTGGCAAAGGAATTAATCTCATTATGAGTTGAGGAGATTGCAAATGAACTTGTTTTCCTAGTTAAACCAGCAACGTCCATGAAACTGTATATATATATATATATATACATATATATATGTATATATATGTACACACATATATATATATATGTACACATATATATATATATATGTATATATATATATATATATATATATATATATA